AAAAAAAAAAAAAAAAAACTAGAGAAATAAAGTGTTAGAATCCAGATTGTAAAACCAAATCTCGTATATTTAATGTGTTATGTGAAGCATTTTGTTTTGGAAAAAGAGAAAATTATGCTTAAAGCAACTGAAGAAAGTAAAGTATAAAAAAACAAACTCTTTGAGAATAGAAGGAATCAATCTCGTAAAGAGAGAGAGAGAGAGAGTTGAGTTCTTGAGGTTGTTGGTTATGGTGGAAGGCCACTTTGCGGGAATCAGAAGCTTTTATTATTTTTCTGCCATGGCGAAGTGGGGTCTGAACGGTGTCCAAACCCTTTCCTTTTGCTTTGTGCTCTGTTTGGTAGAAAAGAAAAGAAAATGGAGTGAAATGATGGTGAAGCAACTAAATTGTTATATTTATAATATTATTGTAAATTTATAATATAATATATTGTTATATAATTTATTATTTATATTTAAAAATTTATAATATTATATATATTTACTTGTTTAATATATGTTATAATGTAAGTTTATAATTTTATATAGCATTATAATTATTACATTATTAGTAAAATAACTAAATGAAAAAAAGAGTCCATTTTTGTAATTTAAACTTTAAAAATAGAGTTTTTAAATAAGAGAAGACTCTAATATTATGATATGTACCTCTATTTAATAATAAATATTATACAATTTAAATAACATCAAACCATACACAAGGTTTTTTTGGTACAAACTCCCAATATTTGATAACTATATTAAGCATTGACAATTTAAAACCAAATTATGTTAGATCTCATAAGGAAAAATTATCTCAATATTTATTTTTTTATTTAAAAAATATAAATTTAAAATTTTATTTAAAAAAAATTGAGTTATTTTTACTCAAACGAACATACCGTTAATAGCAGTACACAAGTTTTGTGCATTGAGATTGGTTTACTTTTTATACAGATGGGCAAAAACTTCGGGTTTGGGTTTGACAGTTTGTGGTAGTTAACTGTAGGGAGATGTTTTTCATGGGTTTTTTTTCTAACAAGTACAAAATTTAGGGATGAAGGAATTTAAATTAATATTATATTGATAGAAGTGCACTAAAATTAATTATTAGCCAATTGACTCACGAGGCCAGGTGCATGTTTTTATCCAAGATTAAGAGATAAGTTTTTTAAACTTTTTGCTTTAAGGTGTAAGATAAAAATATCTTTTTAATAGTAATTGTTATTGAAAAATAAA